CGCTTTGAAATTTCCACTGACCGGAACTATGCAATTTGAAATTACCAATGCGTAAAGAAAATGTTTGATAGAAAACAATTCCTGCGTAGGATTTTTTTTACACCACAAAACTAAAAAAAGTTACGATAACGATTAAGGATCGTTACATAAATTATCGTATTCATCAATGCATTTTATTCAATTATTTTCAATGATTGTATTAATGCAAACTGTAGCCTAACCTTAAAACGCCTAATTACGAGGTAATTTTGAAATTGCTAGTTGGTTTTATTTAATAGCTTCGCTTATCAAAAATTAAAGCGGAAGCACTTTAGCAATTATCTGGAAGGATAGTTGGAAATGAATTTTTTAATTCAGATTCACCTATACGATTTTTAATTTAATTTGCGAAAATTCTCACTGCAGATTCTACTTGTGAGGTTAAACGGATCCGCCATTATTGCGTATTGCGAGATCTGCGATCCCGATTTTGATCGCGTTCGAAACACGATCGTCGGAATCACAGTCCTGTCCTTTGCAGTGAGAAAAAAACGAGGGAAATTCGTAGAATATATATATTCAATCTGGAACGCCGACCGGCCAGCCAGAGATTTAATTAAAGATGCATTGCGCTTCGTTTCTAAAGTTGAATGAAGCTCAGCGGCGCCAACTTGGATCTTTCTCTCTCTCTCTCTCTCTCTCTCCCCCCTCCTCTCACGCTCTCTCTCTCTCTCTCCTGCCCTTGATTACATTCTATCGCGCAAAGTATCTACATTTTATTTTTCTCACAGAGTGTACATATCGCGTGGCTGCGATGTCAATTAAACTTTTTCTGCCTTTATGTTTGCTCTTCGAATATATCGCCATGAATCCGTACGCGGGGCACGAACTTTGTTTTTATCTCGCGAGGTTACGCTCTCTACTTTTGCCGCGAATTAATTGCGATCGACTGACCAGCAGTTATTTCCGAGATTATATAGCAATGAACTTTCAAAAGCGGCGCGCGCGCCCTTGCTGTGTATTGAGAAAATCTAGCCGTGCTGTTATCGTTCTCCTTTATCGTTGCCCGTTCGATTGCTCCACGTGTTTTCGTTTCCACTTAGATTAATTAAACGCTCGGTATTAATTAAATGCTGCTCGAATAAATATGCAGCAGCTGGAAATGGTCGCGCGATCGCATTGTTCGCGTAGCGTTTTTCACGCGAATGAACTTACGATTAATCCTAAAGGGCATGCAATCGCGCCGGACGCATTGCCAGTTATGCATAATAATCGAACAATTTGCATGAATTTCTTTAACACTTCTGTACAACATTTCGCGCGGATTTTAATGACGAAAAATACCAGCAACTCCGCATCTCATTGACACAAAATATAATGTAATCTGCAGTATCATCTACATACATGTACCTATATATATATATACATATATATATATATATTTCGTTACAATTAGTGATATCGCAAGAAACCGTATAAACGTAGAAAGTACTTATATATATCTTTCTATTTGAAATACTGTACGATATAAAATAGGCTGATACAAAATAATAAAAAAA